GCCCCTTTAATGGAGGGTTTGGGGTTTAGGGCTTAGGGTTTGGAGTTTGGAGTTTGGAGTTTAGGGTTTAGGGTTTAGGGGTTTAGGGTTTAGGGGTTTAGGGTTTATAGGGTTTAGGGTTTAGGGTGGGCCCCTTTAAATGTAGGGGCCTCAGCTCCTTTTCAGCATGTGCTTACAATCAGGAGCCCTATAGGGAATAGAACTTGCATCTATTTAGGCTGCTTTCGAGATGCGGTTTCGGGTATAGAGCTGAGGGTTTGGGAATTGCGTTGTGTTTTGGACCTTTTCTTGCGGCTTAGGGTCTCGATGTTCGGGTTTAGGAATCCCTGAGGGGTCCAAATACTCTCTGTTATAGGACTTTGGGTCCCTTATGGGTGCCAAAGACCCTTTTTAGTATTTAGGGTTTAGGGTTTGGGGTTTGGCATAAATAAGGACTACTTGGGCCTTTAAGGGAATTGGCTTCTTTGGACCTTTGATGCGGTTCCTTGGCCAGGCTCGCGGACAAGGATTCTGGAAGGTTCCTAGCCTTCTGGTACCCTAAAGCCCTAAACCCTATAGACCCAAAAGAGACCTAAATCCTACCCTAAATCCTACAAGCTAAACCCTAAATCCTAAACCCTAAATCCTAAACCCTAAATCCTAAACCCTAAAACCTAAACCCTAAATCCTGCTAAACCCTACACCCTAAATCCTAAACCCTAAACCCCCGGGTTTACGGTTTAAGGGTTGAGGGTTTGGGGTCTAGGGGTTTAGGGTTTATAGGGTTTAGGGTTTTGGGTTTATAGTTTACAGGGTTTAGGGTTTAGGGTTTAGGTTTCGGTTCGGCTGGAAGGCTAAGGATCCAACCCGGCTTCGGGGTTGGGATGTTTGGCAATGTAAATCTTGAGGGTCCCCGGATTCAAACATTCTGTTTGCGGGTTTTGCAAAATTTTTCGCGGAGGCAAACCTGTCGGATTGAATCGAAGATGCTTCAAGCTCTGTCCACAGAACGCACTCGTCAGTTGTTTCAAACCATTCCCTACACCGCAAAAACACACAAAACCCTAAACTCTACAAGACTGAGTATGACTAAGTAGAGGCTCGGGTCTTCATTAGAAGCCTGCGCGGATCCTTAGTTTAAGACAATGATGGCTGGGCCGGAAGAAAACAATCACGGGTACCGCCAGGGCTCCAGCGGTGATCAGGTATTGTGTTGATACGGGTATTTTTGCGACATGAGGGTTTCCGAAAATAGGGGACCTTAACATAGTACCCCACATAGTAGGATCCTTATTATAAGNNAAGGTACCCCTCATTTTCGGAATCTCACACATCTGTTTTGGTTACGTAGCTTCGATGACCGCGCATTACGGTTTTGATTCCTTCGTACCGAGAGGCTTCCGTCGACTCGGTAGTGAACACTATATGGAACACTCTCTGCTAATTACTATTGCAACTACTATGACAATGACGATAGTTGCTATTATCGATTTTAGTCTTCTTCAGATGATGATTGTGCTGATAGTAGTGAAAATGGCGATGATTATCATGATAGTACGTGCTACTTCTGTGCAAGATATGACTACACAGCATTACATAAGTGCTGTCGTCGTGACTGGATCTCTTGAGCATCTCAAGACGCAAGCCCCAGTGTGCACGTCTGACCCCAAAAGCCCTTACTTGGCCCAAACCTGTGCAAATCTCTCAACCCACAACCCATAAACCGGAATGTCTCAATTTTCGATCCCGAAAGGTCCAAGTGCCACAGCAGCAGTACTGAAATGCCTTTGGTACCAGTACCCATTCACAGTCTGGTATTTCGGGTCCGAAAACCCTACATTTAGGGCAGAGGATCCCGAACGGTCCTGGCGATCTCTTCCGCGGGGTTGCCAACCTGCTTCAAAGCTTTGGGGATCTCCAATGTAGGGGCTACGTGCCAAACCCTAAACCCTCAAAGTTTTAAAAGACGGTAGAGTCGGGAGATGCAGACAGCGGTTCGAGGCCCCTGCGAGGATCTTGAAGTCTGCGTGTGCCACCTAAACAGAAAGGGGGGCTTTTGGAGGTTGAAGGGTTTAGGGTTTAGG